CTTTTATTTCGTTTTTTTTTTAAATTGAAGTTCATTCGAATTTTATTGCGATTTTTTTTATATTAATGTTTATTATGTTACGTGAAAAGATTTTTTTTTCAGGTTTATAGTTTGCTCGAGTTCCACTGTAATAAAACACATCGCCGTTCTAAATTCCCTTACACTAATAATCAAGTCTTCTGCTAAAACTAAAAGGAAAACCCCGTTTTATGCCATGTTGGCATTGGATCCAGAGCGAAGCCTTGCCGTAACGGCTTGTAAGCTAATAAATGTGTCATTGTTCTTCCGGGTGTTAGCGGTGCCATTCAAGGTCTAACAGGAGGGGTAACTCGTGTGTCCAGTAGCATGCAGTTGTTTGTACCTTCAAACCCCCTTGGTGTATTTTGTAACACTATTTTGTAAAAAGTTTGTTACAGTAATTCGTTACAATAGTAATTAAAATTTACCTTTTAACGTTACCTTTCAAAATGAATAAATGAATCGTCACACATTTTCTAACGAGTTTTTTTCTTCTCAGTCATGATTTGCCACTTCCTGACTTGAATCATAAAAAAAAAAAAACATTAATCATCGAAACACCGGTGCAAGATCATTTAATTATCGCAAGCAAACAAAAACTGTACAACTACCCTGAACACAAAAAAAGTTAACCGCATCTTGAGAAAAGTCAAGGATGGTCTAGAGGGGAGGGGAGGGGGGGAGAGGGATGGACTGGGCGAGATTTGAACCCTTATCCCAGGCCGTGTAGTACAACCGCTCTCAATGCGTCGTTTGATGTGGCCGGTTGACTCACCCCCACGCCCCGCCGCTAATTAATTACCGAACTTTTATGCCAGTCTGCGAGGCCGGCACCTACCTGAGAACTCGCCAGGTAACTCTAGAACACCTCCGCGCGGTCTAGTCCGGATAACAAGACCCCGCGCTATTAATCTCGCCATGCCGGCGATCCCATCAAACGATCCCGATCTGCTGATCCTCGGCGACCCCGCCCACCTTGTACCTAGTCATTAAACAAGTTGAACATAATCTCAAGAAGTCTAGAACCGCAGGTAGCCGCTCCCAGTAGTACACGTGTAATCGGTTAATCTTCTTGTCAAAAACTATCCCTTATAATTCACAAGGTCACTCTACCGCCAGATGTTCATCGATACGAACATTATTAAATATGTACCTCTAGATACGCGAACGTACAAGGGGGAAATCGTGAAATTACATTCTTCAAACATGAAAAGCTTTATAAAAAAAAACATTATCTTTGAATCTTTCATGTCATTTTTATTATAACAAAACATAACAAGGAAATCATTCTTAATTTTTTTTTCCTCTTGAATTTATTAAAATCGTGATCTGATATTTATTACGCGTCAAATGAAAATATATTGCTTTTAAGGGCAGCGATACTACTTTATATTGCAACAAAGCAGTCAGATTTTTGAACACAGAATATATTTAGACGGGAAAAATAAATGGCTAAGACATTTGCGATTTGAACACACACACGATAAATAATTGAAGGAAAAATAAAAATTATTTTTCAAGAAAAAAAAAAGTTTAGTTTGTAATTAAACTGAATGACATTGTGAAACAATTATGAAGCAACGCGGGGGAGTCAGCAGAATTGTGGGTAATATTTCCGTGGTTCACACCCACCTACACAAGTTGTGTGGTAGGAAACATATGTTGGGGGAGTAGCTCGATTGTTTTTTTTTTTTTTTTTTTTTTTTTTTTTTAGGGCTAGTTTTTTGGAGAGTGGATGTTGAATGAATGCTTGGGTAGATGGAGTGGGGGAGAGGTGTATGATGCTTTACAGTCGATCTGGTGAATGGTGTTGTATTGTGGCTTTGGTGAATGTTGCTGTACCGTGGATGTGTGGATGTGGTGAATGTTGTTGTATCGTGGATGTGTGGATGTGGTGAATGGTGTTGTACCGTGGATGTGTAGATGTGGTGAATGATGTTGCACCGTGAATGTAGTTAATGGTGTTGTACCGTGGATGTTGTTAATGGTGTTGTACAGTGTATGTGTGGATGTGGTGAATGGTGTTGTACCGTGGATGTGTGGATGCGGTGAATGGTGTTGCACCGTGGATGTTGTTAATGGTGTTGTACCGTGGATATGTGGTGGATGGTGTTGTAGCGTGGATGTGGTGGATGGTGTTGTAACGTGGATGTGTGGATGTTGTTGGACCGTGGATGTGTGGATGTGGTGAATGGTGTTGTAACGTGGATGTGGTGAATGGTGCACTGTGGATGTGTGGGTGTGGTGAATGGTGTTGTACCGTTTATGTGTGGACGTTGTTGTACCTTGGATGTGGTGAATGGCGTTGTACCGAGGATGCGTGGATGTGTGGATGGTGTTGTACCGTGGATGAGCTGAATGGTGTTGTACCGTTGATGTGTGGATTTGTGGATGGTGTTGTACCGTGGATGTGTGGATGAGGTGAATAACCGTAACATGGATGTGTACTCTCGTAATCCAAAACACGAGTTTTACTGCTGCAAGGTTTTATGGCGGAGGGTGTGGTGCGGTGGATGCTGGAACTGCGTCACAGGTCGCTGGCTGGCTGGGTGGTAAGTAGGTTTAACCCAGGGACGGGTTTATGTAGTTCCCGGCTCACCTTTGGGTTAAACTCACAAGCTGATGTAAGTTTGTTTGGGGAGAAATATACTAACCGATGTTCGTGGGTTGGGATGGGGGTGGGATTGGGGCACAAGGAGTAATAACGACTGCAGTTTATTAAACCCGCAGTTTCAAAAGGCATTAGTTTTTACTTGTGCGCCTCTTTATGATGCTTCAGTGCCGTTGGCACGCTGAAGGGGTTAGGATGAGTTCAGAGGCGTAGCGACCCTTCCCGGCGCCCGGGGACAAACTTTTCGATTTGCACCCCCCCCCCCTCCCTCGAGATTTCGATTTGCACCCCCCCCTCGAGATTTTGATTTGCACCCCCCCCCCCTCAAACTTTCAATGTGCACTCCCCTCAACCTTTAATTTATTTTTCCAACCCATTTTGGCGCCCCCTAAGCTCGGCGCCCGGGGACATATGTCCCCCCCCCACCCTCCCCCCCCCCCCCCCCTCGCTACGCTACTGGATGAGTTATATTCTTAAGCTGTCTTTCTTAATGCGCGCACATGTCGCTGTCGATGATTTCGCTTTCGTATGCGAGTTTTTATGTCCTCTGTTTAGACGCACACATAATGTTTAGTGACTCCATTCATATTGGTCACTCACACTACTATATAACCGTGTTGTGCTCACCTCGCCTTATCCGAAACGGTGATCGCCAACCTAATCACTGACCCCCAATTCTATTCGATGACACCCCCCCCCCCAACCCCGCCACATAGACCTAAGTGCCCCACCCTCTTCTTAATGAAGGAGGCGTAATTGCAATGAAGTAATTAACTCTACCCTTCCAGTAGTGCAAGATTGCACCATTAATCTTTTGACCTACATAATCTTCTCCAACGCTCTGCATCCCTTGTTACCTGTGATTAGTAACCTGTGATTACTAACAGGTAAATACTCTGATTAGTTGCAGATATAACTTGTCTAGACTACAAGCAAATTAAGAGCTATATATTCATTTCTAATATACATATATATACATATTATATATATATATATATATATATATATATATATATATATATATATATATATATATATATATATATATATATATATATATATATATATATATATATATATATATATATATATATATACATACATACGTACACAAACATACACCTTATATATATATATATATATATATATATATATATATATATATATATATATATATATATATATATATACATATATATACATATCAAGTATACCGCAGGTATTGCCCAGTAATTTCTGTTAGGCTAAGGTGATTGATTGGGCTAATGAGAGAGTGACACTTAAGATTTAAATTAGAGCTAGCGTTAGAACGGACCGACGGGTGTCGTATATCGGAAAACTACCCATACATTACAGGGCGGTGGGGTGGGGCCGGCGAGCGTGTTGTTAGTAAACACTGACTTTGTTTAGGGTGACACCTGCTGACGTCACGCCAACACAGGTAACCAAGTGACACAAGGCTGACAACGGTGGGTTTATTATATCACTCACGCCACCCCCTCTTCTTCACATACACCCTTAGTCAATCGTTATCCTCGTCGAGTTATTCGTAGATTAATACAACACACACACACACCCTACACCTCCCACAACACTCCCACGTCATGACCACGCACACACACATACATACCTTGACCACACACACGGAAAAACTCCCACACCTATACCTCACACGTGCTCGCGCGCGCACACACACACCGCCCACGACACTCCCACACCTTGACCACTGCTCACCATCTATACGACGGGAATACCCGTGTGCTAAATTTAGACCAAAACAATACCACGTGTTTCTTTATTTTGGCGTTTCAAGCGCAGTGTCTCTCAAATACGCTACCTATTCATTGACCTGTTAAAAAAATATCAACACGTTTCATTAAGTTAATTAAAATGTATTTCCCTTGCAAAAAAAAACAAAAAAAAAACAACTTAAAACCGATACTGGTTTTTAGAGAAGTCATAATAAAAGCTTGTAAAAAATAGACGCTTGTTTATTTAAGTTTACTTTATGTTTCCCAAAATTACACCTTTTCTGTTTGGACTAAATTAATGAATTTCTACAACCATCATCAACCACGGCCCGGTAGTGTTGTGAAGCCAGCGATGTATTGTAAATTACTGCAGTATTTTCATCAGAGGCTTTCCTGCGGCCAAAATACGTGGGCTAGAAACCAGCCTCGCCGCCGCTTCTCGCGCGTGGGTTTTCCTCTCTACGTCTATTTTTAGCTCACCTCATGGCGAAATGAAGCTACGTGATTGGCCCAGCGTCGCGACCGTATGAATGAATGTTCCCAGGCCCCTCCCATAAATTTTTTTTTACTAGTCCGCAGCAAGTATAAAATTGAGGCGGGTTTCCTCTACCATCATTCAAACTTGTTGGAATACACTAGCAGTGAAAAAAAAAATAAGCTTTTGTTCATTTTACTTCGCTGAGTTTACTAGATCTATACCAAAGTTGACATTGCTGCACAAAGTTTACTTCATCAGCATTCATAAGGTATGTATACTACTATAGGACAGTAATATTATTCCGTTAAATAATAATGCACGTTTTTGTTTTTAATCTAACAATATTTATCCAGCGACGAAGTATTATCAATAATTTAGTCATTTTATTACAGGAGATTTAATTATATTTATTGCGCTAACTAGTTGAGCACCTGTATGCTTAGGCATAGGTTTCTCCAACTAGCGTATTATTTTGATAGCATTTATAAAAATGTTTCTCTATATTTAAAAATCATCAGATACATTTTTATTAATGGTTCGATTTTCCAACTAAGCTAAGATAAAAAATATGCTTTGTCTAGTTTACTAAAATTGCACTCAATCTTGACATTGAATGTTTTATTTAATTTAATAATCAAACCGCAAAATTAAAAACAAAATCGCATAATAGCGTCAATTACCGAAGTTAAACTGTCATTTGCCGAAATTTTGCCCGAACATGCAGTTGTCTCCCCGTCCTCCGCAACCAGTGCCTCAATGTTTCTTTTCCCGATGGTCGGGTGAACAAAAACCAGGGACACACAACTCTTCATTACGTGTCCGATTTGTGCGACCGTCTGCACATTCGAGGTCTTTAAACGGGCGACCAGGACATTTATGTGCGTCAAACCTATTAATTTCGACTTGTATTGCCTCACTTTCTCGCGATCGCCGGGCGCAATGACAGCGGTATTATCGGATTTGTAGGACTTGTCCAAGTTGTCTCTCCATGAATCTCCCCTCCATGCGTTTTTTTTTCCTCTCTCAAAAGCTGACGTTGCATTTTTCATCTTGATTGTCCGATATTTTAGCATCCACGTAGGAAATAAATCATTTTTTTTTCGCTGCGCTTATAGTAATATAGACTTTCACTTCATCGATATTTAGGAAACTACACGTTAATCGCTAAAGTTCAGGGTGAAAATCTGCTAACGGCTGCAAATTGCAGATTTTCCTGATCTCAATTCAGCCATAAATCAATCGGTCCGGACCAGCCGATCAACCGATTGACAAACGGCTTCTGGATACGCGCCACTGGCCCGGGGAGAGACAGGAAGGGGCGGGGACCTGTATCTAGGAGACCCGACATTACAAGACGTTATTTAAGACGGGGCGGGACAGAGATTCGCGTGTCACTTGTTGTGTGGGTCAAGGTTCCTGCAATGTCTGCGGTTCCAGAAAATTGTTCCTAGAACTTGTCCCTTGTGAAATCTTCCTGCAACACGCAGTCGTCAAGATTTTTTGTTCGTTGGAAAGTTTGTTGATGGCCCGGCAAAGATGAACTGAACAGTTTTGTCGCAAGTTTGTTGCCAACAAAGCAAAGACGAACTGAACATTTTCGGTCGGGCGCGGCTGGCCAAACAACAGTTGTAGCCTAGATGGTAGCACGGTGGTAGCACGGTGGTAGCACGGGAAATGTAATGCTGTGAAATATCAAGTCATCTTTTGTGTAGGATGACTTACCGGGTCGTCAAAATCTTAATTTACCCACCCCAGAGGCTGGCTAGAATATGCGGGGACAGGTGGGAGAACAAGTTAGTCGGTCAGCAGTGGTGGGCCTGTAATCAAAACTTGGGCCAACATTTAGTCTCAAGTCTGGGCCAACGCTTTAATCGAAAGTTGGGCCAACATTTCGAAGTCTGGCCAGCGCTTAAGTTAAAGGTTGGGCCATCATTTCTAAGTCAGGGCCAACGATTAAATTAAAGTTTGAGCCAACAGTGTCAAGTCTGGGCCACCTAGAACAACCTCACATGTGCGTCAAGCCGGTCTTAGATAAAGCACAGTTTAATGTTAGCGCCATGAACTCAAAGCTTGTCGCACTGTCTGTGTCAATATGTCTCTGTCACCGCCTGTCTATGTCACGGTGTCACTGAGACAAGGGCGACACTGGCCCTCATCACGAGCCCTCCCAATTTCAGACCGTATTTTTTGATCCCGCCATCTCATCCAGCCTATATTTATATATACATATATATATATATATATATATATATATATATATATATATATATATATATATATATATATACATATATATATATATATATATATATATGTATATATATAAAGGCCTATATAAATTTACAACTTAAAATATAGCTATTTCCCAAGTTTACAATGAGATCCCAAGCAAAATCTAGATCTATAAATAAATCTGCATATAAAACTTTATAATAAGATATTCGAGAATATAATTTAACACGTACAAATCAAATACTTCAATTTCATGTAAAGGAAAGAGTAAGCTTTAAGCGTACATGGTTAAATTATGGCTTATTAGGATTAAGCCGTATATTATTAAGTCACCCGTGGTTAAGTCAAGCGTGAACTTATCAAAAAGATGGGATTTAAACAATTTTCGTGCATTAAATTCTTGATGTATATTACAATTTGAATTGGATTCTATTTTTAAATTTATAACACATAACTCTTTTAACCCTCGGTATTAGATCTATGCTATCAATGAGGGTAATTAATTTGACTTTCACATTTTTAATTTAATCCTATTGACAATTAGAAAAAGTAGATCGCGCTACTAAAAAAAAAAACACTGCCCGTTTGTTTAGCGAGTGGCGGTGTATTGAAGCCCTTACAATTATGTTAATTAACTCTGGTTAACATATTTTAGGACTCAGTTCGGTGAAACGTGAATAAAGCTTCAAATGTTGACTAGAGCAGTGTTAGTCTAGGTGGGGGATGGTGTGTGTTGGGGTGTGGGGGTGTGGGGGGCGGCGGTGAAATAGTTTGTGTATCTGTATTGGCCCAATCGGCCATTGTTTTTTCTTGTTAAACAGAGTTACCTTACCTCGCGGGTTCTCTCCTCCGAAATATTTTGTCTCGATCATTCGTTTGGCTTTTCAATGTATTTATTTTTGCTGTTTCATCTGCCGTGTTTAGTATGGAACATGTAGCAGTCCAAGTAGGATTCGAACCTGTTCCGCTTTGAGCGATGGGCCTAGTACAGGGACTGACGTTGGTACACTAAATAGGGAGCGAAATGTACATGAAAACGTACAGTGTAATTGTGTACAGCAATTATGTAAAACAATTATACAACAATTGTGTACACAAGTCAGGTACAAAAACTGTACAACAAGCGTGTACCATGTACAGTACGTGTGTACAAGTGTGTACAGTACATGTGTATAACTGTGTACAGTACGTGTGTACAAGTTCCATGTACAGTACGTGTGTACAAATGTGTACAGTACATGTGTACAAGTGTGTACAGTACGTGTGTACAAGTGTGTACAGTACATGTGTATCACGAGAGCACAGCCTGCGCGTGTTGCTGTTGTTTGTGAGTGAGTCGTGTGCAGGTAACGCCACCTGTTGCGCCTGCACGTGTGAGCTTACATGCATGTTCTGTATCGATGAGGGCGGCGGGGGAGGGGGTCGATCGATTGATTGCATCACATTGAATCATGGGACTTTTTTTAGACGACTAGATCAGTTTCTTTAAAAATGTGTATTGAGATAGGATATGGGGGAGTGTCTCTATGTGTGTGTGTGTGTGGGGGGGGGGGGCATTGTTTTAAAGTGGAGGGCGGGAATGCAGTTGGTGTTGTGTGAGGTGGTTGTGCTGGGTGATAATCCACGGCTGCTAGCGTTGGTTTTCGCGATTAGGTCACAAGTCTGCTTCAGTTAGGTCAAGGACCTGCTTGTGTTAGGTCCTGTTAGGTCAAATATCTTCTACTTTTAGTCAAGGACCTCATTCGGTTAGATCGACCTTGTGTGTTGCTCGCCATTGTAATGCTGCGTTCACTCTACATCATGTGGGCTATCAACACAAACACATATACATACACAAATACCACACACACACAAAATTATTTCATTGTAATGCTACGTTCGCTCCATATCATGTGGGCTATCAACACACACACACACACATATATACATACATACATACATACACAAACACACATTTGGCTAGCAGCTTAGATAACGGCAGGAACAGCTGACATATGTCATGCTGACAATAATACCTGACTGTTGTCATACAAACATGTACACCCACAATCCGTTGTTTGGCTTTCACAAGGACATTTATAACTTTTATTTTATAACATCCGAATAGTTCAAATAATTTCCACTCTTAACCTCCCCACTCCTCGCTACAACCCCTTGTTGCGGCGTGGCTTGGAATGCTAGCAATGCCCTACTACAACAGTCGACCTACTACACCACTCCCAATACAATCAATCCCCCGGTTCCGATAATCTATAATTAGAGTATGATGTAACAGTAGTTATCGGATTCAAAAAAAGAGGGGGTTTCCTGAGGAAATCCTATTTCTATATTTAGCACTATTTCGTCACGTTTTTTTATAACGACTATTCTCGCACTGTAATTATTAGGATCAGTTCTAATACATCGCCGATCGTTATAACCCTAGGCAAATATTGCACCGTAATCGTGCTAAAAATAGAAACAGGTTGCGTGTTTCCTTGGGAAACGAGGTCACGTTCAAAATATTTAGTAATATACCTGATACTTTGTTTTTCTAATCTAAAGGCAGGTGTCCCAAATTCTCCTGCATGTTTAAGTAATTGATTTTTGTAAGAACATTTTTATATAAACAGGTGGTTAGATGTTTTGGCATAACAACGTGTGTTGATTAAAGTGATATGTACCGGCATAAATTTGTTTGTACCGGTATAAATTTGTTTGTACTGGTATAAATTTGTTTTTACCGGTATACATTTGTTTGTACCGGTATAAATTTGTTTGTACAGGTATAAATTTGTACCGGTATAAATTTGTTTGTACAGGTATAAATGTGTTTGTACCGGTAAAAATTTGTACTGGTATTATTGTATTTGTACCGGTATAAATGTGTTTGTACCGGTATTATTGTGTTTGTACCGGTATAAATTTGTACTGGTATTATTGTGTTTGTACCGGTATTATTGTGTTTGTACCGGTATTATTGTGTTTGTACCGGTATTATTGTGTTTGTACCGGTATTATTGTGTTTGTACCGTTATTATTGTGTTTGAACCGTTATGCTAAATGCCGTGAAGGCGGCCTGTAGGTTAGACCGAGCCGGTTGTTTTTATCAGGGGAATTCTTGCAGTGATGTGTGGGAGGTTAGGGATGACTTTGCATACCCTTGTTGTGGTTCCCATGTGTCGGGGTAGCTGATTGGCTGGGATTATCAGTCGAGTGGCCAATGGCTGAGTCATTGACATTCTTCAATCGGTGACGTCACGGTTATTCTGATCTTAGCGGAATTGTTGTGTTGGGGGTTACTACAATAGAAAGGTGGATGATTTTTTTAGGCGTGTTTTAAGGTCACACTAAATAGTCACGAGAGTTTAATTAGAGGAACGAATGTCATTGTTTACAAAATTAACACTACATTCACCGACACGGCATTACAGTGCCATTTCTAAGAAATTATTATTTTTACCGGTAGCGTGAGGGTTAGGATTAAGATTTAGTTCGCGGTTTATGTAAGGATTTAGGGTTAACTGTGGCTAGGGTTATGCTTATAATCAAGACAACAACAGCAACAATAAAACAGTTGTGTATTTTCACAGGTTTTAAGCTTCTATACGTTTTAGTTCTATAAATATATACTTTTCTATCCGACAAGTTATTCTAGTTCATGCTGGACTAGACGTTGTGACAGATGCTGTGACAGACCCTGACACTGTGACGCACATTGTGACAAATGCTGTGACAGAACTCCAGTATTCACCTGACATCGACAAAAGAAAACAAAAAAAGGCCCCATGGGAAAGAACTCGTGCCTGTCCTTCCATACTTAACCAGTCCCTGTGTCAGTATTTACAAACATTCAAGAACGATAAATGACACATACACAAATTTTTCCCCCACCTGCAGTAATCTCCTTATGGCCAGATAAAATGCCATTCGACATGACTAACTTTCCCTGAGTTACATTCCGTATTTGGTTGCGTGTTTATGCATTTGCTTCGCCCGGGTCGTATTGTTTAATTAAAAATATATAAATAGTCATTAAAATATCCCGCACTTAATTAGATTTTTTAAATGAAGTATCAACAAAAGTAATTATAAAATTGAATAAATTTATGTTTTATAAGTTCGCCAGCAAAAATTTGAATTTGTCTTACTTGTGTTTTAATTGTTTTCATAAAAGAAACCTTAAAAATAAAAATTAATTAATTAATTAATTAAAGGATCTATTTAGATGTGTGTGTGTGTGTGTTAAAAGTTTCTGAGCTCACCGTATACCCAGTAGCGTAGCGGGGGGGGGGGACATATGTCCCCGGGCGCTGACCTTAGGGGGGGCGCCAAATTGAAAGTTTGAGGGGGGGGGGGTGCACATGAAAAGTTCGAGGGGGGGGGGTGCAAATCGAAAGTTTGAGGGCGGGGGGGTGCAAATGAAAAGTTCGAGGGGGGGGGGGGTGCAAATCGAAAATTTGCTCTCGAGGGGGCGCCAAATTGGAAGTATGTCCCCGGGCGCCGGGAAGGGTCGCTACGCCTCTGCGTATACGAGATTATATTTTGATGACTATCTGAAGTAAAAACAAAAGTTGGCCCAGATAGCTCCGCTGGCCCAACCGGAGCCATCGGGGCCAGAGTTTGTCATGTGACTCTGCGGGTCGGTGGCCTGCCTGTCATGTGACCGTTAGTTTAGTCTGCCGGGTCACGTGATGATAGATTAGGTAGACACACAGGTGGCCGGTGACATGCAGACGATCTCATTAGGGTAGCGGGGGGAGGGGGGGGGCACCCGAGGTGTAATATTCGTATAAAGACAAAACCGATGGGTTACTAATCGCATCGATCACGCGGCGATGACTAGTACTCTATACTGGACCTTTGATCTTTTGTTGTTGTTTTTAATTACCGGGTTGCTATAATTAGCGTTGTGTTCATTTCACGGCATGGTGCAACCCCAGCGCCACCGTTTGAGTCGTGTCAACAATCTAAATATAGCACCGGAGAATTCCCGGACTGCGTTCAACAGACCAGAATAACATCAAGGAAATTTTTTGTAGCGTCGAATTCTAGTAAAAAAAACACAAACGATAGGGTGGGGAATAGGGCCGGGGGTAGACGGGACGGGAGATACACGGCACATGTGGGCCTATTTCTTCACCCCCCCCCCCTTCTCTCTACACACGCTCTAATTGGTGACCTAATTAGTCACATAAGGCCAGGGTTGGTAGCGAGTGTAGTTTCACGTAAGGAGTAGATGATAGGGTGAAACAAGGGGGGGGGGCGAGGACATCATTACCTGTTAATGTGGAGATCGATGGATGCGTGCAGCCTCCCCCCACCTCCCCTTGGCGGATCAATAACGCTGGTCTGATTGATTTGTACGCTTCACCTACGGCTGTGTGCAGCGTTTCGTTATATTTTCACAGACATTCCACTTTTAGCTAAATCATTCCGCTTTTTTACACACAGAAGGAAAAACGTTTTAAAAATATATATTGGTCATCGGAAATTCAGTTTGTAAAACACTAACAACTAGGTATCGATACTGCGTCTAGTCGGCAAAAAACAACGGCTAAATCTGCTCGATACTGAACATACGTCTAGTTTAGAAATTTTCTCCGCGTAGGCCTTTGTGATTGGTTTAGAAAACTACATCTCAAAATCGCATAATAACATCAATTTTATTTAAACAAGTTTTACAGTTACGGTGCAGGAATAACAAACTAAAGTAATCTTATCTTCATTCAAAGCTCCGTTCTCTAAAAGTCTTGTTAGATAATTTATGCTAATTTTATTCCTTGTAATTATGTCTTTTTACACAGCTTATGCCTTTCTCTGTCTAATTGAATATAACAGACACGTAAATGGTCTGCCAAATTTGCATTTTGTTGGCCAAAATACTCAACGTGTTTCTTTTTTTGTTCACTAACAGACAACAGCCGACAACACAAGAAATTCCAGCCAACACAGAGAGAGAGATTGACCAACTGATCCACTAAACAAACAGTTACTGCAGGAATTAGATCAGCTGTGTGCGAGACAATCAGAGCTTTGTGACGTTGCACACACAATTTGCTGACGTTTTAAACACAAAAAATGGCAGCCGTGACGATATACCTTGGACTTGTAATTATCGCCCTTGTCTACGCTTACTTCAAAATGTTTTACCGTCGCCTGTAAGTAAACCACACTTATTACAAATTTCAAAATATTATTCATTAATTAATAATTTAAAATAAAAATATAGAGCATTTTAAATTATTAGTTTCCTTAATAAAAAAAAAATAAAACATTTAAAAATTACAAATTGAAATATAACGCAGCAAATATAACCAAGCGATATCAAACATTTAAAAATTACAAATTGAAATATAACGCAAAAGAAGTCTCCTTCCCCACAGCAAATATAACCAAACGATTTTATTTTCTTGCAGACGACCCGGCGAGCCCCCTCTTGCCCCGGGACATTTTCTTTGGGGAAACGGCAAGCAGTTCACCGAGCACGCCGTCAAGTTCCTCCACCAGGCGCACAAGAAGTGCGGCGACGTCTTCACCATCCGATTCCTCAACCAGTACTGGACAATGGTGCTCGACATCCACAGCTACGAGAAGTTCGCCAAGGAAAAGAACTTTGACTTCGACGCCATCCAAGAGCAGGTGAACCAGAACGTGTTCGGGTACCAGCTGGTCGATGCCAGGAAGATGATTAGCGAAGCCGGGCAGAAGGTTAACGGGAAGCATCTCTTCACATCCCTGGAGAACTTCGCCAAGAATTTGACCGAAGCTTTCAAAGAAACGGCGTCCGAGATGGACCACGCCGGGAAAGTCATCCCCAGTAACAACAACAACAAAAACCTCAAGCAAGATGCGTACGACAATCTTCAGAACGAGATCAACCACGCTAAAGATTCCAGCTACTTCATCAACTCCCAGAACTCGCTGACACACCCCCAGTACAACCCCGACGCCTGGTGTGAAGACAACTTAAGAAATCTGGCATCCAAGACCTTCTTCTCCCCCGTCTTCTACACCATCTTCGGTCGCGGCGAGCCGGGCAAGGAGGGCAACTTCCACCCGCAGGTGTTCCACAAGAACTTTGACCAGTTCCACAAGTACTTCAACTTCCTGTGGTTTGGTATGCCTGTGCAGATGTTCCAGCAAGCCGTGGAGGCTGTGGGGATCCTCGCCCAGCAACCATCCAGCTCCGACATGATGAACAGAGACGGATGTTCAGACTACATCAAGTTTGCCACGGAGTTCATGCTCAAACACAGGTAAACATTTAAACTAATCTTAAGTTTACTTTAAATTCATTATACTCGACGTTGTTTTTATTTTATTTTATTTCTCGAACACTGTTTGAAAATTTAATTTTTTTTGTTACCAGCCAATCAGAGCGCGACATCATCTGCCACAACCTCGTGTTCCTTCACGTCAACTACAACACGTTCCGCGCCGTGTACTGGTGCATGTACAAGTTGATGGAGGACGCCACTGTCATGGCCGCCGTCAGGAAGGAGGTGGAGGAAGTGGTCGAGGCTAAGCGCACGGGCGCCAACTCTTCTGAATACGAAGCTGAGTTCACAACCGAGGACATCAACAAACTGCCCGTAGTTGGTAAGTACACACCAGCCTCACCAACACATCAGCCCTACCAACACATCAGCCACACCAACACATCAGCCACACCAACACACCAACCTCACCACGTTCAATGTCCTATCTCGTGTTACCTCAGAACTCTGACAGTTTCCTGAGTCCTAAAACTAAAACTATTCTCTGTTGTTTTTCTCCAGATTCCTACCTGAAGGAGATCATCAGATGGACGAGTGGCGTGTTCATGGTGCGCAAGTGTGTGGAGGACACGAGTTTCACCACCGACAAGGGGGAGACATTCAACATCAGGAAGGGGGACAAGGTCGCTATTTACCCACCAGTCTTCCACCACGATCCAGAAATCTTCGAAAGCCCCGAGGTAAATAAAGTTCTTTTACATTACCGCAGTGAATTTAGTAAAAAAAAAACTTAAAAATTTTTTTTTCAAAAAAAAATGTAAAGAAATATTAGTATTTAAGTTAAAATTGTAATATTGTATAATACATTATATATGTATGTAATTATTCCAGACTTTCAAGTACGATCGATTCATCGATGCTGACTTCTACAAAAACGGCAAGAAGATCAAGCACCCCCTGATCGGGTTCGGATCCCTGTGTCCCGGCCAGAAGCTGTCCATGCTGCAGATCAAGTGGTTCATCATCAACATCGTCAACAGCTTCAAGCTGGAGCTGGTGGAAGGCGAGAGAACGGCTCCCCACACGGGCATGTACGGCCACGAGATCCTCCCGCCCACCAATGACGTCCAGTGCAGGTTCAAACCCAGGGAAGGCGCCTGCACGCTCAAGTACGTCAACAACTACGGCTCCAACGGCAGCAAGGGGCTCGGTGGCATTTCCTCCGGCAACATGTTGTGAGAACTCTGCTTCACCTGACTTTTAATTTTAGCATCATGAACTTTAAACAAACGAAAAAAAACGTTCAATAGGGAATTCCCTATACAGATTTTGTTTTGGATGCTATAAATAAACCGAAGGTCAGAAGCCAAGCTGTATTAAGCTGACAGCATTAAAGCTTATGACTTAGACAGCAGGTTCCTGAATGTGGATCTTAGACTTTCCAGCACCCTCCTCAAGTCAAGATGGTATGGGGATGGTTCGAAGACTGGAGTGGGTCCTTTCACGGACAGACTAACACGTAGAAACAATCAATCCAAGTAATGTTGTATTTTATTGTGTCCACAATAGCACTAATACTGTGACCATATTTATGTGTTCTACTCAAATTGTTGCTATGTAGTCATTGAGGTTAACTTTATGACGATTTAAAATCCTATAGACAGACATTAGTAGACTAAGGTTTGGGTACTAAAATAAAACGGAAACTACAAAGACAAACAACAGTAGACTAACGTTTGGGTACTAAAATAAAACGGAAACTACAAGACAGTTAAAAGTAGACATGTTTGGCACTAGAAAAAACCTGAAACTTATAAGACAGTCAATACTAGACTTATGTTTGGCACTAGAAAAAAACCTGAAACTACAAAGACAGTCAATACTAGACTTATGTTTGGCACTAAAAAAAACCTGAAACTAAAAAGACAGTCAAAAGTAGACATGTTTGGCACTAGAAAAATTCCTGAAACTAAAAAGACAGTCAATACTAGACTTATGTTTGGCACTAGAAAAAAAACTGAAACTAAAAAGACAGTCAACAGCAGACTTATGTTTGGCGCCAGAAAAAAAAACAACTGAAACTACAAAGACAAAGACAGACGAACGTGAGTAGTAATACAATACTCATGCGAGGGTGATTCGAAGCATTTATAATAGAATTGTTAGCCTGACTGAGCAAATGAGATGTATGTTAGAGTTTTGGACGAGACTTGTACGTTTCTTGAAAGCGGTGCGTGTGCGATGAATATCCACTTAAAGACTCTTAGATTTTTATCATAACATGTAAAGTGTATGAAAGTTTGAATTATTTAGTGTGGATGTTTTGAGCGTATGTTTGAAGTGTCTAGTCCAATATGTCAAGTCCAAAATGTCGTCCAAAATGTCATGCATGAAATGCCTTGTTGGATCATTATTTAGTACCAATCGTTATATTAACAAGCTGATGAGCTGTGATCTCAAGTTCTTAGTTTCAATACTGTACATAGTTTCGCCAGTTGTTTCAATACTGTACAAAGCATTGCCATTTGTTTGAATACTGTACATAGCATTGTGAATACGTATTTTAGTTTAGAAGCCTTATGTCCATTTTACTTTACCTGTTGACATTGTAGTTTTATTTATAAAGTAACTTAATTCATCAATTATTTATATGCAAGGTATTCTCTAATCATATTTTATTGCCAGATCAATTTTTGATCCTTTCCATTATATTCATGGCCAAAATATTATTTTTTCGGTTGATTACAGAATACACTTTACTGCTAAAATATGTTTGTATTGCAAGTAGAGAAATTTTTTTCGTCCTCAAGATTTTAAAGTTGAATTAATAATATTAACTGTTTTATATTATTGTTGGCCCCCTGCTAATTACAAATTTGTTTTTTTAGCATCACATTTAGAATTGGTTTTAAAATGTTAAAGTGCAAGTATGATCTCTCTAATGTCTATTGGGAAATTAGTTTCCGTATACTGCGCTGTTATTTATAGAATTTCAAAATCCCATTTTTTAAACAGTGTAACTTAAAATAATAATCAACCAATTGCTTTATGAATTTCTTAAAATGAATTTTTAAAAATCTAAGTATAACTCGTGGCTAAAATTTCATATAAACACATTTTGGAATGTGAATCAAATTCTGTTTTTTTTAAAAATCTGGTTGGGTAACTTGTGTTGGGGGGGGGGGGGGTAACTAGGATATTGTGTAATAGAGAGGTCGGGTAGATAACTGCAATACAACATAATGTGTATATATGTAGATATGTCGCGTTGGATTTGAAAATTAATCTCATGTACCCAGCCTACCTGGCAAATAGTCTTCTGTTGTGTACCATTTGAATTTGACTATACTTGTGTAGAAATCTGGCATAGGGTTCACTCTGAAGCTAGCTCCCCATCCAGCAGGATGTGTCGTGTTGGTCCAACATCCAGCACGATATATTGGCCCATCATCCAGCAGTATGTGTCGTGTTGGTCCAACATCCAGCACGATTTATTAGCCCATCATCCAGCAGGATGTGTTGGTCCAGCATCCAACAGGATGTGTTGGTCGTTCAGCAGGATGTGTTGGTCCAGCATCCAGCATGTCGTGCCATGCTAGTTGAGCATCTCTAGAATCTCCTTAAGGTTGTGTTCTGTACCAATTGACTCCCCTTATGTTACTCTGTGTACTTTATATTTACTGGTTAGATAATTACATACTTTATACACTTTAGTGATATAAATTGGTCCCTTTCTTGTTTAAACTGAACCCATATTATTATTTTTATTTTACATTTTCGTTGAATATATTAATATATATTACAATGACTTATTGCAATGAAATTATTTATGATATTTTTTGTTACGTTAGAATTGAATAACGTCATTGTTTACCTATATGTCAGCTAACCGATTTTGTTGAAATTGAAGCGTTGTTACAGTGCTGTCTATTTATAGATTGTACTCACCATTACTGTTTTATTACTTTGACATATCAAAAGGTCAAACTTACCTGCATTTTGCCAGTACGTGTATACGAGCGTGTTGCCATGACAAAGTTGTCAATGCTGAGAAAATGTTTTTTTTTTTTAAATTAATTTGCATTTATTTGAACTGTTAGTTATTTATGATTTAAGTTGTGTCCAGTCTGTATATAATCTCAGGTGGTCGTTATCAGGGCGAGGAAGGACCTTAGGTCCAAGTCCGCTCTATCCCTCTACCTCCCAGCTCCCACACCCCACTTCCCACATCAGACGATCCATCCCCCCACACTCACTCCACACCCACCCGTAATTCACTCATGAAACTAACCTTAATCCTAACTTGGGCTTAAACCTAAGGTTCATAGCATAATCATTGTATAATAGCCATGTCTTTAATTTATTGGTATTTTTTTATCAACATCTAATTTATTTTGGTCATGCTCGTGTTTAGCGGACCTCCGAGAAGACACGAATTAATTTATTACAACCATTTTATGTAAAGTCTTGTGTGTAAAAATTGTTCATTGCTTGCTGATTGATGCTCACATAAAAATTATTTATTCTAAATTAATCTAATGTTTTGGCTTTTATTGATGATGTGTGAACGGTGCTCCATAGAAAGTGGTACATGCACACGGTGTTCCATAGAAAGTGGTACATGCGAACGGAGGTAGGGTCTACAAAGATTTACAATATAATAGTGGGTACAACAATTGTACAGGCGAACTATTTGCACCATAGTTTTAAAGGACCACGGACCTTTTGGGTTCCAGAATCATGGGATCATCTCACCACAGGCAATGGCTGTCCAAGGGATCACGCACCCAACAATAACTGGCCAAGGGATCACACACCAAACAATAACTGGCCAAGGGATCACACACACAACAATAACTGGCCAAGGGATCACACACCAAACAATAACTGGCCAAGGGATCACACACCAAACAGTAACTGGCCAAGGGATCACACACCAAACAATAACTGGCCAAGGGATCACACACACAACAATAACTGGCCAAGGGATCACACACACAACAATAACTGGCCAAGGGATCACACACCAAACAATAACTGGCCAAGGGATCACACACACCAAACAGTAATTGGCCAAGGGATCAACACTACCACACCCCCAGTAGTAACTGGCCAGGAAATCACCATCAGTAATTGGCCAGTCCAACTGCATCTATTGAACACCTCCTATGTTTGACATCTCAGCATCGGATCATCCTTGGACCCCCCAAACTTGAATGCCCTCTAATGTAGGCAAGACTATACACAGTCTCCCAAAAGAAGTTCAAGACATTTACCAAGTCCGAAATCAGAATCCCCAGCAATGATATCCAACAATGATCCCCAACAATGATCCCCAGCAATGACCCCCAGCAATGATCCCTAGCAATGATACCTAGCAATGATCCCTAGCAATGATCCCCAGCAATGATCCCCAGCAAAGATCCCCAGCAATGGTCCCTAGCAAAGATCCCCAGCAATGATCCCTAGCAAAGATCCCCAGCAATGATCCCTAGCAAAGATCCCCAGCAATGATCCCTAGCAAAGATCCCCAGCAATGATCCCTAGCAAAGATCCCCAGCAATGATCCCTAGCAATAATCCCCAGCAATAATCCCCATCAATGACCCCCAGCAATAATCCCCAGCAATGACCCCCAGCAAACGGCAACACGATCTCGTCAGAGGACAAAAGTGGCTACGGTACAACCCAAACCACTCGACTTATAATAGTACAAAATGACGTCACCACTCCACACCCCCAACTGGCGACACCACAGATTTTGGACACTGTGTATAAATACGTCACACGTTCACACAGTTGCCGGTAACTGGGACGTTTGCTATTTCAGTGGCTGTCAATATTTGGGGGAGGGACGTGGAGGGATCTAAAAACGCTGGGGTCAACACTTGGGATAAAGTGGCCACTGGCCAGTGTCAGGGGTCAACTCACTAGGGTCAACACTTGGGATAAAGTGGCCACTGGCCAGTGTCAGGGGTCAACTCCCTCACTAGGATTGCCAACTTTTGATTACACTACACTGTCATTTGTCAATTATGTTTCTAGACTTTGCAGCGAGATAATTTCTAAACAATGGCCTGTAGATGTTTAATTCTTTATTTTGTAGGACAAAGTGGTCGAATGGTACTTTTTTTTGTAGTGCGTTTAGCAGCTACCACGAAGGTATCGAGTTCGGATCTCTGTTCGGACTGTTGTCTGTAGTCTGTAGGACGACCCTGAGTCCATCCAGATCTGATGTGTACCTGACACGTTGGGGATAATAAAGACGACTAGACAATGCTTACAACACCATCCCTTCAAATTCTGAGATCAAGAAATACATTATTCTGCTTCACCCACGTCATCTGCCCAATGAATCGCTGTCTAGAGAGGAAAATTACTGTTGTAAAAATGTATTGATTGGCTGTTTGTGAAATAAAAAACAAACTATAATATTATAAATAGGCTTACACTATGGTTAAATTTTTATTTAAAATTAATTTCTAAAGATAATGAGAAAATTATGTTTAGTATTCATAGTCAAAACACCACAAGTAAAAATTTGCAAAGAATACATATATATATATATATATATATATATATATATATATATATATATATATTCTTTGCATATATATATATATATATATATATATATATATATATATATATATATATATATACATATATATATATATATATATATATATATATATATATATATATATATATACATATATATATACATATATATATATATATATATATATATATATATATATATACATATATATATACATGTATATATATATATATATATATATATATATATATATATATATATATATATATATATATATATATATATATATATATATATATATATATATATTCATTTACTTATTTAAAGTTTATGTTTAATGTTGGTGACGCTAATTGAAAATTCAACATTTGCTAATATTGTATCTTTAACTTTATTCTAATCTGTAAAGAAAAATAAAATGCGAAATATATTCACCATCTAAAACTGTTTCCGTTTCGTACACACACAAAATATCTTGCCATGTAAATGTAATAAAATTGTTCATTACCAGTGCTAACTTTACTGGGCCGGTTCTTATATTACTAGACAAGTAATATAATTTTACTCGGGTAAGATGAACTTTACTCAGCCATAATACCACAGTCACCATTTTATGCTACTCGTGTTGTAAAAAATATATTTCACTTCTGTGTTAATTATTATAACCATAGTAGCAAAATGTAGATCTTAAGAAAAGTAGTTTTTTTTCTAAAAAGTAATTATTGAAATTTCTGCTTTAAAATAAGCTAAGAAATGTGCAGGGCCCTTTTGTAAAGTCAGTTACTGCAGAGTTCAATGTCCCTTGCAAGTGTCAACGACATTTTTACCCTCGTAGACTAGTCCTAGTTAGGGCAAATCTCAACTAATGAAACGAAACAAGGATAAAGTCCAAGTTTTCCACCACCCCCTTCCCCTCATGGAATAACATTGAGAATAGAAATAGGTCGGTGATGAGTAAAGGGGGGGGGATTGTTTGTGTGACGACATAATAGCCTATTTAATTCCAGTTGGTGTGGTGATCAGCTGGTGGTGACATGTCACCAATAATACGTCACCACGCAGGTGTCGGGTCCAGATGGGGAACGGATGGGGGTGGGGGGGAGCAACCCGGAAGTGACGCGATTTGTTTATGTCAAACACTGGGGGAGGGAGGTACCAGGTGAAGTAATAACATTTCCTCACAGCATCTGCTGCGGTCTGGCTAGCCTAAACATGGGCCACACCATCACACACACCACCACAGGAACTACAACATCTGCTGCGGTCTGGCTAGCCTAAACATGGGCCACACCATCACACACACCACCACAGGAACTACAACATCTGCTGCGGTCTGGCTAGCCTAAACATGGGCCACACCATCACACACACCACCACAGGAACTACAACATCTGCTGCAGTCTGGCTAGCCTAAACATGGGCCACACCATCACACATAGCACCACAGAGCTACAGCATCATACATGGCAGCTCGGGAACTACAACATCTGCTGCAGTCGGGCTAGCCTAAACATGGACCACACCATCACACATACCATCACAGAGCTACAACATCATACATACCACCACAGGAACTACAACATCACACGTATCACCACAGAGCTACAACATCACACATATCACCACAGGAACTACAACATCACAAATACCACCACAGGAACTACAACATCACACATACCACCACAGGAATTACAACATCTGCTGCAGTCTGGCTAGCCTAAACATGGGCCACACCATCCCACATACCACCACAGAACTACACCATCACACATACCACAACAGAGCTACAACATCACACATACCACCACAGGAACTACAACATCACAAATACCACCACAGGAACTACAACATCACACATACCAACACAGGAACTACAACAAATACCAACACAAGAACAACATCACACATACCAACACAGGAACTACAAAATCACACATAGCACCGCAGGAACTTAAACATCACGCATACTACCACACGAACTACAACATCACACATAGCAGCACAGGAACCAGAACATTAGATACCATAACACACGCTACAATATCGCCCATACCACAACAGATATACACAAAACACCAAACACATATACACACAACACCAGGCATACCAAAAATAAGACCACAATATTGCACATAGCAAAATACAGACCACTACCCGAAAAAATAGATACCACAGTACACTTTATCAAAAGCATACCACAACATTTACACCACAACACACACGCTGCAACACATACACCATTATTATACGGGCTTCATTTGACGGAAACCTCCCGAAAATCCAAGTCGATTGAGAAAAAGAAAATGATAAAATTCACAAACAGTTTAGTAAAAAACTTTCAACTTTCAATTTTGAATTTGTGTACGGTGTTGGCTTAGAAATGGGACAGCCTTGCTCTGTAAATTTAATGTTGGACGTTAACAATTAACTGTCGATCTAGGGACTATTTAAATTATGAGACAATATTAGACTTGTAAAGCTGCAGGGAGATATGCAAATAAGTAGCAGCGGTGAGTTGTGTTGGCCAAACACAGGTCTAGACCAACTGGCCTCAGTAAAGATGGCCATTTGGTCTGTCTTTTTTGTAGAGGGGGGGGGGGGTCCCATCAAGTTTGGGACGTTTAGCGGAGGGAGGGATAGGGGGGGGTCTTCCATCAAGTCTGGGAGGTTTAGCTTGGAGTGTGTCTTGTCCTGGGTAGCCATCCTGTCAGGGGGGGGGGACATTTCAAGCCGGGCTAGTTTGTCCTTTGGTCAGGGGGACATTTGAAGCTGGGCTAGTTTGTCCTGAAGGACCGTGACAAGACCTCAGTAAAGCTCCAAAATGGCCGCAGTAAGACGCACATGTGACCGCAGTAAGGCACACATGTGACCGCAGTAAGGCACACATGTGACCGCAGTAAGACGCACATGTGACCGCAGTAAAGCACACATGTGACCGCGGTAAGGCACACATGTGACCGCAGTAAGACACAC